GCTTATCTTGTTTCCCCACAGTGTGTATGTATGTATGTACATATGTATGTATGTATGTATGTATTTATTTTGTCCCAGTATTTTATTTTTTACTGGGTTGAATAGTTAAAGCTTCAGGCCAGTAGGGAAAGTATCCCTGGGTAGAAACTGGTTTTGACTAAAGCAGGTGGGTAAGTGCAGTACCCAATAGTGGGCAGATGTTCCAGCCTTGATAGAGGTGGCTGGGGGAGCTTTCAGTGAAAAACACGGAGGTCTTATCAGGGGGAAGGGTGGGAGCCACCTTATTTCTTCTGCTAGGCCAGCAGGAAAGTGATCCAACTCCCAGATGCACTCCTGACCCAATGTTCCAGCTATTCATATCAGACAGGCACCTGTTTTCATGTCTAGGAATGTTGATGTTCCAAGTATAGAGGAGTTGTGATTCCACTTCTTGTGCAAGCCTGAATCTGGAGGGCACTCCTACTGTGAGGATGCTGTCACCCTAAAGTGTTCCAGAAAGACTGTCTATAGATACACTCATGTCAGGCTCTTATAGGAGAAGCCCCAGCTGTGTTTGCAGTAATGGATAAGAGAGAAAAGAAGTCCCCTTCTCCAAGACCCTTCTTGAGCACCAGCATTGCACTCATGCCTCTGCTGAAAGAAACTTCCCACGAGCAGAATGTTCTGGGACTCAAGGCCTGGTATCCAGACTCTTTTGTCCCATGGGGTGTTCCCTTGATGTGGTGTACTTCCCCTTCCACTAGAAGTTGGAGTCCCTGAGAGCCAGACCACTGTTAACACTGCTATTCCTCTGGGTAGCCACCCCATGGGGCTGCCAAATTTCGGGCTGGTGCTGAAGATTATCTGCAAGGGGTCCAGTGATGTGACCTGTCCTTATGTCTCCCAGCAGTGGGCACCAGCACTAGCTCTGATGGGGGTGGCAGGGGAGTGACATAGACTCAGTGAGAGTAATGTAATTGTTTAGAAAATTCTGAGTTTCAGTCAACCTCTGTGATACCCTTTGGACCCTGAATCTTGGGACTTACCGTGCTATTCTCATAAAGTATTATGTAAGACTTATGGGTGCAGAATTAATATATAATTAACTATCAGTATTTTAAGATTCCAAAATAGGTAATAAAGGCAAAATTTTAAAAAAATGAGAGCAGGTGGCTACCATGACATAAGTAAAGTGACAATAAAGAGCCACTATGCAGATAGGCTCCACATGAGGGCCAGTGGTTCCCACAGGAAGTTTGTTGTCAGTTTCTGCCTTAAATCATGTATGTTTTACGTGATTTATGTTTTACATGTTTTACATGTTTGTATGTAGCAGGGATTTGGCTAGTGTACTGAGTGGTTAAGTTTCAGATAACTAAACTTATAATATAGTTACAAAAGCTACAGCATAGTATGGTGTTCAAAGATGGACCCCAGAATTCTACTGTCTGGCTACTTGTCTGTTATATAACCTTGGACAAGTTACTTAACCCCTTGGTGTTTCCTCTTCTGTGAAATGAGGGCGACAGTGGTACACATATTGTTGGGCTGTCATAAGTATTAATTGAAAGTGTATGTGTAGAGGGCTGATAGCTCTGCCTGGTACATTAGTACTCAAGTAATGTTAGCTATTATTAATGCCATTAAGAAGGATCAATAATTCACGCATAAGTTATCAAAATTCATTCACTTGTAATCATTTATTAATAATTCATTCACTTGTAATCATTTATTAATTTATTCAAACATTATGTATTATTAACATCAAGTATTAACCAGATGAATAAATTCTAGGCTGGCAATATCTTTGAAATAGTGGGAAATCAGTACAGTGATCAGAAATTTGTATTCGATATTTTGGTGATAAACTCATTTAAGATCTGCGCAGTGTCCTAGAACCACCAGAAATGTTCTTTCACCATGCATGTTGTTAGACCTATTGTCCCTCCTGTGAACACCCAGGCCACTCGGTCATTTTTTAATGGCATGTGTTACATTTCTTATTAATTTATGTATGTTTCTTACCCATATGGTACCATATGATTTATTGTTTAAACTGGGATATTTTGGGGAGTGAAAGCAGTGCTGTTAATCCTTATGCCAGGATGAGTGGCAGAAGGCAGACGTACCTTGGGTTATCCAGGACATATGGCTGCTATACTTATCTCCCTTCAGAGGGTGTGTGATTAATCGGCTTCATATTCCTCAAGGTACCTGTAACTATACTGGTGATTAATAGATGATCAATAAAATGTTTTTGAAAGAATTACCAAATAGGACCTGGACATAGACAGATAGTGAATTATTTTAGTTATTTATAGACTCTTTCCATTTGAAATATTCAGATGCTTTCTAAGTATCAGTCTAATTTATCTCCTTAGTATTTGGCAACATGCAGACAGAGAATTCTACTATGAAGGGAAATTAAACTCATTTAGAGGATTAAATTGAAAAATTAGTACACTATTTTCAATTTTTACACAGAAACACAAAACATTTATATATAGTTATCTATGTTGTTTTTTTAAAATCTAAAACACTATTTAGAAGCTTCTCTAATTAAAATCACTGAACATCACCTTGTCTATGTTAGGTGGTGCTTGGGCACTGTCACAAAGCCAGGGGACACTGAGTGCAGCTTAGTGTAGTTGGTACATGCCTTTACTTACCCTGGATAATGTGTTTCCTTGATGTGTTTTATAATTTGATATTATTCTCTTTTTTTACTCCAAAAACTTTATATATGTTTTCAAAGCTCAGCAAGGAGACACGTGGCTGATGTGACATTTGGGGCTTCCTGGGAGTAGGTCATATATCATGGACAATCAGAGTAATCCGTGCATTTTGATACCATGCCAAGGACATTAAGTTAGGTTTATTTCAAAAGAAATGTCCTATTCGGTTGGGTAGAATATGTTCTTTGCATTGACATTATAAAGGATTATACAAAATCTCTCTTTAAGCCTGTTTTTCTGTGTGTTAGACTATCTGTCTATCATCTATCTGTCTGTCTATCTGTCCATCCATCCTTCCATCCATCCATCTGTCGTCCATCTGTATGTCATTCGTCTCCTATGTATTTAATGGTATCTTGTATTTGATTCCCTTTTTGTCTGGCAGCAAAATCTTATATGGATTGTTCGGTGACTTTTATATTTTTGCTTTATTATTTCTAAATCCAGAGGAAATTCATTATTACCAAATTGTATGTTGAAATTTCTCCTCAAAGTATAAAAACTTTCATTTTTTCCCCCGATATAAAATAATGTGAATTCAGGCTTTCTTGCTGTTTTAAACAAAGCAAGGTTATTGAGATAATTGCCAGAGATTAGCAAGGCAGATCATTTTGATTGTGAGGAGAAAAATGTCAGTAGCCAGATGATTTCAGTTTGACAAGCCGTGGGGTATTATTTGTCGTGAAAGGCAGGACAGCCTTGGCAGTGCTTGTGTCTTGTGCAATAATACTTTGCTACAGGCATCAAGTCTATGCTGTTCATTTGCATAGATGTTCAGAGAATTACCAGAAGCTAGGCATGAAAAATTGTATTTACATTCTTCAAAATGAATGTAATGTTATTGAATTTAGTACATAAGTGCCTGTCTTAAGAACATAAATATCATCTGACTAGAAGCAAAAGGATATGTGGAAAGGAAGTTTTTTTTTGTTTATTTTTTTGTTTTGTATATTAAAGAAAAAGGGAAAGGAATTAATTTTGAGAACTGTGCTCACTGTAGTCATACAGCATTATAAAAGATAATGTATGGATCAAGAACTAATATTCACTGGATTTAAGGGCTTGAGGCTTCTCTGTAATTCAGAGAGATATGTTTATGTAGTTGAAGTCAATAAACACATATTGAGAGACTGCTGTGAGCCAGGTAATATCTAGACAGTGGAAAATAAGAATCAGTAATTCACAGTCCTTGTCATCAGGATGCTTACAGGCTCATAAAGGGAGGCATATCTGCAAACAAAAACTACAATAAAGGTATACACAAGAAATGCAATATAGAAAAGACACACTTGGTTTACTTGGAGCAGGAGGTAGGCAAGGAAGACCTTCTTGAAAGCTGTGAAGTCTCTTTTAGTGGGGTCAGAATGGATGAGTTAGAATTAGATAAGTTGAAAAAGGGAGTGCAGGCAATGGGGAAGGTGTTCAGAGGCTGAGGGACCAGCAGACGTATGGAGTGGAGAAGCAGCAGGAACCTTGCTTTGCAAAGAACTTTAAGACCTTTGGATTGACTGCAACATAAAATTGGAATGATCAGAGTTAATAGGAGTAGAGGAAGAAGGTAAATTCAATAAATGTTTAGTAAATTAAAAATCAACAAAACCTGATGGCAACATGTACGATGTGATATAAAGGATGAAATGATGGCAACTTCTAGTTCTCTGGCTCAGACATTAGCCCAGAAGGTAGCATTGTTTGAATGAGAAAAAGATGCATTTTCTCCTGGGATGATGCAGGCCAGTGACAGGTGAACTGTGGGTGTAGAGCCCACGGTGGATTTCAGCCTCCACTTGCCCCTTGGGTTGGTGCTCTTGGGTGGTGTACAGTCTGAGCAACTGTAAGAGGAAGCTCTGGGCAAATGGGTGGCCAGTTATCTGTGCAAATAGGAGAACCTAGAACTGGGAGGCAGTGTGGAGGAAGATGAGCTCGGTTGCAAATATGTTACATTTGCCATATTTGGAGTGTCATTGTTCAGGTGGAAATATCAATGAAGAAGTTGGATATATCATTGTAAAGCACTGGAGACTATAGATGATTTAGGGCTATTAAAAGTTTAAAAAAGTTATATTTCAATTGTTAACATTATTTCAAAGTGAATGACTTTTGAATTACAGCTCCAGTGGAACTCATTTGGTATTGGTGGTTGGTTCTCCAAAATGGTTGACCTGCCCTATAAAAAAAAAACTCATTTCAAATAACTTTTCAAAGAATGTCTACCACTGTTTATGAATATACAGAAGAAGGGTCATGATGAATTGAATTGGTGAAATTTTTTCTTTTCTGTTTCAGATTGTGCTATGCCTTGTATGACTAAGACCTCTTACCAAGAATACCTGTCAGACCATGTGAGTACAGAACCTGTGCAGTTTGATTGCAGTGAATCCTAATTGGTTAGGTCAGCTAAGCAAAAAAGCAAACATTTTATTCCAGATAAGACCAAAAGCAACAATATCTATTTTCCCCATTATATAAATTCTAGATGAGGTAGAAAACGCATTTCCTCCCCCTTGTCTTATTATTATATTAAGGACTATAAAACCAATTGCAAAATTTTTGTCAACTTATCAGGTTATTTATAGCAACCAATTATGAGAAGTATAATTGAAAGCAGTTTCTTGTTTGCTTCTGTAATTCTGAAGGGGTCACACCCCCATCCCCAACTTCTTATGTGACCCTGTTTTACAGAAAACCACTGCCAAGGAGTGCAGGGGTGGCAATGAAACAGCCCAACAGGAAAAGGAAGCTTAATATGGATTCCAAAGAGCGTTTGGATCAGGACGGATGCTTGGTAAGATGTCACTCCTTGGACCCTTCCTCACAGTGTGTGCTTGCTACCAAAATGCACCATGGAATAGTAGAGTTCACATAACCACACTGAGGGGCTTTTCAGTCACTGGAAACGATGTGGCTTCTGCTTGACTTTTATGCATAGTGGTATAGAATATAAGTGTTATTAAAGTCTGATATATTTTAAAAGGTGATCTTAATTTTAAAGGTGAAAGGAGACCTTTTCTTTCACAAAGATGGAGGTAATCAATCATTCTCAAGTAAGAGGACGGAGGCTGTAAACTGCAGGGGGGTGTGTTAGGGTTCTCCAGAGAAACAGGACCCCCTAGGATGAGCGTATGTGTATATGTGTGTGATTTTTTTGTGTGTTTGTGTACACACACACACACACACACAGCGAGAGAGAGTGAGAGAGAGAGAGACTTATCTTAAAAAGAGGAATTTATCGAGGCGCGTCGTGGGGGCTGACACGTCTGAAATACGCGGGGCAGCCTGGCAGGTTGGAGGCCCAGGGAAGAGTTGGTGCTGCAGTCTTGAGTCCAGGTCAGTCTGCAGGCAGAATTCCTTCTTCCTTGGGGGACCTGTTTTTTCTCTTAATGCCTTCAACTGATTAAATGAGACCCACCCGCATTACAGGGTGATCTGATTTGTTCGAAGCCTGCTGATGTGAATGTTAATCATATCTAAAAATATACCTTCACAGCAACATCTAGACACTTAGAAGGTATAATGTTCACTATGCCTGTAGTCACCGTGCCTGTTCTGTTTCCTTAGGACAGCTTTATGTATTCCTGCAAATTTAAAAGCAGAATGACTAGAAGACCTCCATGGTGACTATTTTTGGGGATGGTGGGCCATTACAGCATTTTCATCTGTGACCCTTCATTAGCTCTTAGCATTTATTTGGATGTGGATTTTGGGGTCTTCATGTGGTTTGTGGTTATACATTTACACATTGCAGTTGCTGAAGTGAGATCGTGTAATACATTTTCTTTTTGTTCAGTTCCAGGTTAGGTGTGGTTTGATGAACTCCAGACATTAAATGAGACATCTCAAGGAATGATCTGGTTTGAGGTTGGTTTCAAGGTGTTCAGAATAGGTCTATGTCAAACTCTGGAGCCATTCCCTCAGGACTAGCCTCACTGGGCAATAGGGTGATTAACACTGGGCCAGGGGCCAGTTCCCTGAGTCCAGATTGGTTGCTTTTCTTAGGTCAGTTCCAGGAGAGTTTAGAGTTCTACATGTATAAAGGAAGAACTTGCTATTTAAGAGGTGTCTTGGACCAGATTTGAGCAGACCTGCATCTGTCTTGGCTTAGGTGAAGATGCCATTGTTAGTGTTCTGCTGTGTCGTGTCCTCTGAGGGGTGAAAGCGTGAGACTCAGGATTTGATGTGTTCAGAGTTATTCTGGGTACTTCTCCACATGTGCTCCCTGGACTAGCAGCATCAGCATCACCTGGAGGTTGTTGGAAATGCAGATTCCTTGGCCCCAGTCCAGATCTTCTGAATCAGCTACTGTAGGGGTGGGGCCCAGCAATCTGTGTTTTAACAATCCAGGTGATTCTGATGCCCACTCATGTTTGAGAACCATTGTCCTAGGGAAGTGGCCAGATGCATCTTACCTGCTAGTCATGTTACAGTTAATCAGTATTTTTCTTAAATTTTTTTGTTTTACATTTGAGACCACCTTCCCCCATCCACACATATTTTATATTAATTGTCAGTATCATTTCTCTTTAAGCTGCTGAGATTGTTACCACCCTATCTTAGTACTCTACAATCGGAGTATTTAACCTTTTGCCTCTTCTGCATTAACAAAAATCCCAATTTCCTCTTAAAGACCAACTCAGTTTCTAACTTAATCCTGATGTGTTTACTGTTATTTCTACCCCACATTGGGATTTTCCCCTTATTGGACTCCAGCAGTGCTTAACACTGAGATACGCTTTCAGTGCAGGGCTTGTATAGTTAGATTTTCAAAAATAGCTGTTAAATGATGTTCCTGGTGCTTCATGACATCTCCATGCAAATGAATTTTTTCAATCATTAGTAACAAAGTAATATTTTAAAGGGCCATATTCTTAGTTTACCTTTTGGGATGTTTGGGACATATTATTTTAAAGCATGTTCACATATCATTGAAAAGATGCACATTTAGTCCACGTTGCACTGTCAGTTTGGGGCTCATTGCCAGTAACAATGTTCATTTTCATTAGTCAAATTTAACAGTTTAATACAGTAAGATGTATTCACACCTGGGGCTGCATTCACTGTGGAAAGAAGGGTTGAGTCATGCTTGAATTTTGCTAGACTCCTTGAAATATTGGTAACATCCTTTATTTTGTGTGTTACCCTTCTGGTTTACAAGTGACATTTCTAGTCAACTAAATAACATCCCATTGGCAGACCATGCACATAAAACATCAAGCAAATGTACAGGTGGGTGTTTCTGAACATTTTCTTCTGAGATGGTAATTTCATACCTTGGATATCTAATAATTTTAGATGATAATATCTGTCAATGAATATTTCTAGACTAATATTTTCTATGTATTTCTAGATAGAATTTAAAAAAATATTTTCTAATGCTTTTCAGAACATAGACATATGGTTAAAAAATTAAACAGTACAGACAGGCAGTAAAGTAAGAATTAAATTATCTACCATATCCCCTCACACATACACTAAACCCCTAAATATTTTCCTAACCATGTGACCACTATGTACAGTTTCTCGTATGTCTACATAGGAAAAAAAAACCAGCTAAAAATTCCAAACCTTTTCTGCACCTATACACATACATAAACACATCCCAAATGCACTCACATTCTGCTTGTTGTTTTGCATCTTGCTTTTTTTGCACTTAATTATGAATGTTTTGGAGATACAGGTTTTATTCTTTTCAGTGCTGCATAGTATTTCATTTTTATGAATGTGCCATAATTTATTTTAACAGTGCCCTACTGTGAGCATTTAGATTATTTTAATTTTTGTGGTTATACACCATGTTATATCCAATGTTCTTATTCATATATCCTTTTTATATGTGAATGCTTTTGCAGTTCATTCATAAGTACTATCATAGCAGTGCAATTATTGTACCAAAGGGTATGCTTGTTTAAAATTTTGATAAACCACTCCATATCATCCTCCAAAGAGATCACCCTAGTTTATCCCCTCCCTAACACATCTGAGAGAGTGCCTCTTTTCCTTGGAATTTATTATATGTTTTACATCTTTATTTCTACCGTATGGGTAAACCTCTGTTTATGATCTGGTCCCTGTAGTGCTGCTGCAGACTTGAAGAGGGTTTTTCTCTGTCCTTTTAGACTCCTTGACGTATTTTGTATTTTCACAACTTCTAACACCAAGATAAGTGTCATTTTTGGTGCCCTTTGCTAACTTTTTCTGCTCACCAGCTTGCTTTAGAATTGACTAGCAAAGTGTAGGCATATGTGATTGGGGAAATGAAGTATTTTTTTTTCAGGGTTATTTCATTGATGTCTAGTGTGTATGTGAGTGTTCGAGGCACAAAACCCCAAAATAATAATACAGGCTGTGAAATTTCAAATTTGCTACATAAAAATGCAAGTTTCACAGATGAAAAAGGAAATTTTGTTTGAATGTATAAGAATGAAATATATGATCTCTGTGTATATAAAATATTTGATACTGAAAAAATGTTAATTCCCATTCTGTCTCTCCCTGTGAACCTCTTAACATCAATAGATCTTTATCTAAATAGTGAGTGATGAACTTTGAGAGAGAGAAATATGAGACATTTTTCATTCTCAAAAGGATCTTAGAGTATTGCTGAATAAAGGAAAACTAACTTATGTAGAGTAATGGAGAACAACTAAGTACATGTGTAGCACATTAGTGCTCTAAGGTATGGTCACCCTTGAGAGAAAGGTAGAGTCATTGGGAGCTTGAGTCTGACCTTGAAGGATGAAGAGTATCCAAGATATTTATCTTGAATGCATTGTTATTCTGTTGTAACAAACAGCTTTTAAATCCAACCTGATAAATCCAATCTGAGAGAATACAACTTTTTTTTTTTTTTTTTTTTGAGATGGAGTCTTGCTCTGTCACCAGGTTGGAGTGCAGTGGCGCAGTCTTGGCTCACTGCAACCTCCGTCTCACAGTCCAAGCAATTCTCCTGCCTCAGCTTCATGAGTAGCTGGGACTACAGGTGTGCACCACCATGCCCAGCTAATTTTTTTTTGTATTTTTAATAGAGATGGAGTTTCACCATGTTGGCCAGCATGGTCTTGATCTCTTGACCTCGTGATCTGCCCGCCTCGACCTCCCAAAGTTCCAGGATTATAGGTGTGAGCCACTGCGCCTGGCCATACAACTTTTTAATATATTAACATCTAGATGCTCTGTAACCTTGAGAGGTAAGAAAGTTGAGGGATCAGAGCGGAGTTATCTGGGCCCCTTAAGGAGGCAGCATGAGCAAAGATATGGGGTTGGAAGAGAAGGTGACGTCTGTGATATATGGCAGGACCTTAATGACTTACCTGATTGGAGCAGATGTTGCTATTGGCAGTGTTAGTAGATGAGCATTGGGTGGGGTTGGGGCATGGGTCAGGAGATTCAGGTTTTATTTTTTGCTGTGCTGCTCATTAACTGCGTGGCCAAAGACAAGTCACTTCACCGGGCTGGGCTCAGCTTCTTTGTCTGTAGAACAACAGTCTTAGATCGCAAGATCTTTACGGGTCTTTCCATTTCAGTAAGGATAAAGTTTGGTGTGCAATTAGATTGCAGGGTGACTGGGGTAGATCTGGCTGGTCACACTTAGTGAGGCTTGATGGCCGAGCGGAGGAAGTTGTACTTGCAGTGGTGGCCACTGGCCTTTAAAGAATGACATCAGGGGTCATGGTTGACCTCAACTTTTGCAGAGGGTAATGCAATCTTTCTGTAACATCCTTAAATAGATACTGAAAAAATGTTTGGGGTGAGTTTATTTTGGTTTCTATTTTTAAGTAATAGTTAATTCTTTACATTTTGTTGCCTCATAGAAGACTGATGTCAGTTTACAACAGCCAGTAAAATTCACTTACAGATGGTAAAAACCATGAGAAGGTGGTGTTTATAAGGCTATGTTAGATTTTTCACTTTTTGTTTTTGTATGTGTCTTAGCAAACACTTTAGAGAGATTTCATTTGGAGACTGTAGTTATATTATCAAGTATTTGAACAAAATGGGAGCATTTCATTCTCCCTGAGTGTGTCTGAATTCCAGTAGAGCAATGGAGAAAAGTCCCACAAATTTCTGTACTTTTATCCAAAAGGCGAATTCTATGTATCTTCAGTTTATATCCCACATTGGATTAGAGCAAAAAAGAAGTTGAAAAGTGGACTTGAACCAGCAGTTGAAATTCAAATAGCCATTTGTCACTGGGGTTATTAAATAGGATTTCACTGTTTTCTACAGTTCATGAAACCAATGTGTATCACCCTCTGGGCCACAGATAGCAGGTTCTTATGGAACAAGAACAGCAGGGTTCTCAAAAATCCTTGAGTGTTCAGGAGTCTTTGGTCTGACAGCAAAGGAGAGCAAAGGGGCATTATCTGGCAGTTCCAAGGTGATGAATGGAAATTGCCAAACCCAAGTCAGCAGCTGAAAATCCTTCGTTTTGTTCCCTTGATTGGAATTCATAGACAGAGAAATGTAGACACTAATTAATTAGGAAACGTCACTGTGCCTTGTAGTAAAAGCATATGATGCATCCAGTGCCAGCAGGAGGGAACAGAACATTAAGCCTTTTTGGTTATTTTCCCACTTCATAATCCTCTCTTCCAAAAATGATGGATTTTAAACTGGTGAATGGAAATGTACCATAGCAAAGACTTACTTTATGTTCCTTAAACCATTATCTCCCTTTTTTGCAGAACACTATTTTTTTCTGGAACTTTATTTTCAGTTTTCAGAATTAAAGTTTGAGACCTCAGAAATCGCAGTAATGGTTTCATTTTTCGCAATTTATATTGATTTCCTTTAGTGGTCTGTCTGCAAGGATAAGATAAAGTGCTAATTTTTTTCTTTTGTTTTTTAAAATTAATTCTCTGTTCATTAATAGCAGTGTAGATTTATTACCTTTATGAAATAATTAATTAGCTAGACAGAAGCAAAGAATGTTAAAGCTAGCGGGAACTTTGGAGAACATTTAGTCCAATTTCTTTATTTTAACAGGAGAGAAAAATCAAGTCTAGAGAATGTAGGTCATTTGTTCAAAGTTAAATAGCTTTTAGTGGTGGGTTGAGATTTGACCTTAGGTCACCTAGCCCTAAAATCAGCATTTTCCCTGCTGTGTCATATGATACTAAATCCTTTTCCATGTGCAAAATTGTTTAAACTTAGGTCACTCTGTTATAGATATATATGTTTATTCTGATATACACAATATAATCTTTCATGTATACATGTGCATGTTTACCTGTGTCTATAACCTTGATCCAACTAAAGAACATACAGACATTGGAAGCTTGGGCAATTTAAATCCAAAGTAAGAGGTAATGTTTTTGTGTGGAATATTTTTTTTCTTTCTAGGCAGAATTTCAGTAGCAAATAAAGAAGTGTGAACCAAACACTCACTGAGTGGCAGATAGCATATTATATATTTCTTTTTATTTTTGAACGATACAGTGATTATAAAAATGCTTCAGTAGCTGTAGTGTGAACATAATCAACTGTCGAATGCTGTTTATTTTTACTGTTTTAGGTTTTGCAGTAGAAGAGAGTCTCTTTGTTTTGAATTACATATGTAAATTTCCTGTGTATTGAGTGAATGAACAGGGGTGGAACTGGGGGAAAGTGCTACCATGGGAAGTTAGACCCAAGGCAGCAGTTCATCATCTCACTTGCAGCAGAACAGGGTAGATATGATTGCATGACTGTTCCACTCCCACTGCATGCCCTGCTAAAAGGTGGTAGCCTTGCCACTCACAGTGAGGGCCGTATGCTTTTGGCAGTAGCATCTGCTGGGAGCTTGTTGGAATCTGTAATCTAAGGCCCTACCCTAGAGCCACTGAATCAAGGTCTGCATTTTAGTAAGATTCCCAGATGATTCCAATGCATGTTAAAGTGTGAGAAACACTGGCTTATAGTACATTTTAGCAGAATGTTATTTTGTTAATTGCACAAAGATATCCGTGATAACTTTGGATGTGAAATCTACCAGGCAGAAAAATTCTCTTTTTGAACCTTTCATTCTTGCCTTCATTCATCAAATATTTATTGACCTGGACTAGGCACCAGGCTATGTTTTGGGGATGAAAGACAATTAAGACACTGATACGATTTGTTACTATACAAATTGTCTTTTATACCTTAAAGCCATAGACTTAAAAAAGGAACCAAAAAAAGGTAGAAAAATGAAATTAATAGTATTTATTTCATCAGTTAAAAACTAGTTTGCTGTCATTAAAATATTAGTATACCTGATTCGTTTTTGAAAACCTGGTTTAGAGCTTTGTGATACCATTATGTGCAGTCTGTATTTCTTTTTTTTCTTTTTTTTTTCGAGACAGAGTTTTGCTCTTGTTGCCCAGGCTGGAGTGCAATGGCGTGATCTCAGCTCACTGCAACCTCCGCCTTCCGGGTTCAAGCGATTCTCCTGTCTCAGCCTCCTGAGTAGCTGGGATTACAGGTGCCCACCACTACGCCCGGCTAACTTTTGGTATTTGTAGTAGAGACAAGGTTTCAGTATGTTGGCCAGGCTAGTCTCGAACTACTGACCTCAGGTGATCCTCCCGCCTCAGCCTTCCAAATGTGCAGTCTATTTTTTTTAGATTTGGTTTTTATGGTTGTCAAAGCTAGGGTGACCAAGCCTCCTCACTTGCCTGCAACTAAGGAGTTTCCCCAGATGTGGGGCTTTTCAAAGTGCTGTGAACAGGTCTGCCCCGTTCTGACTGGGACTGACAGCCACACTAGCCATAACTTAAAGAAATCTATCCCCAAACTGTACAGGAATAAATTGAAGAAATATTTGTTAGTCAGACTTACTAAATCATAGTACTCATTTTTCAGCAAAAGTTTTTGTGTAAATCAGCTGCTAAATTTTCACATTCTCTGATGATAATTAATTGTTCTTGGAAAGTAATGAAAACTATTCCATATTGGCCAGGCGTGGTGGTGCACGCCTGTAATCCCAGCACTTTGGGAGGCCAAAGTGGGCAGATCACTTGAGGTCAGGAGTTCGAGACCAGCCTGGGCAACATGGTGAAACCCCCATCTCTAGTAAAAATACAAAAATTAGCCGAGTGTGGTGGTGTGCACCTGTAATCCCAGCTGGAGGCTGAGGCAGGAGAATCACTTGAACCTGGGAGGTGGAGGTTGTAGTGAGCCGAGATTGTGCCATTGCACTACAGCCTGGGCAACAGAGCGAGACTTCATCTCAAAAACAAAAAACAAACCCAAAAAACTGTTGCATATTTATGTTTCCAAAAGTAAGTTCAAAGCCTGCTTGAAACCCTTCATTTAAAATATTTAAAACTGGGAAATTCTGTTCCCGATTTTTAAGTACATAATTATTACAAGTTGTTTTTGTTTTTGTTTTTGTTTTTTTTGAGACAGAGTCTCACTCTGCCACTCAGACTGGAGTGCAGTGGCACGATCTTGGCTCACTGGAACCTTCACCTCCTAGATTCAAGCGATTCTTCTGCCTCAGCCTCCCGAGTAGCTGGGATTACAGGCGCATGCCTGCACGTTCAGCTTATTTTTTCTTTTTTGTATTTTTAGTAGAGACAGAGTTTCACCATGTTAGGCAGGTTAGTTTTGAACTTCTTACCTTGTGACCTGCCTGCCTTGACCTCCCAAAGTGTTGGGATTACAGGTGTGAACCACCATGGCTGGCCACAGATTTTTAATAGGTGGAATATATTTTGATGGCCACAAAATGATGTAAATAAGACACATATCTGGATACTCACTTTCGAAGTGCTGTTTGTTATCATATCTTTCATAAAAGAAGCCACTTTCCTCGTCTTTGTTGAATGGTAAGTGTTCCTTTGAGAGTTGCAGTTAGAGCATGCCTTGCTTGTGCCATGAGGAGAGGCCGCACCATCTTGCTTGCTGCGTCTGCTTGTATTGTTCATCATACACAATTTATGATTTCTTTTCAGGAATCTTTGAAGTCACTTGTACATTCTATGAAGGTCAGTTTGGTTAAAATTAAAGCATTTTAACTGAGTACTTACAAACCGTAGTAGACCCAGATAGGCTGAAAGCAAAAGTAGGATGGAGGGTTTGGCTTCAGCGTGAACCAAGCCTCTTCTGTCAGCCACTCCTGTGTGACTGTGAGGCCCAGGGATCCACTCAGAGAAGGTACCTGTGTCAACCTCAACATTAACTGCTATCGAAGCTTCCTGTCTCTTATATTTTAGCCAGAAACAATACTTTTAATGAATTCCTTCCACATCCAAATGGATCATGTGTGCCCCTCCTGGGCACCCACTGGAAGGCTCTGAGTACTGTGTGTATTGTCCCCCTTAGTGACAAGGATCTTCATAACTTTCCTTCCTACAAAAATGAACATTAGTTTTCAGTGTTTCCAAAAATTATCCAGAAATACCACCTAAACCCCAATTTCTGTATTCTAGGAGCAAGCTGAAGAAGAAAAGAAGTCCAAGGATGGCACAATCCCTTTGAGTCACGGTAATTATCACCAATATTTACAGTGTTAGTTCACGGTGAACAACTTTTAAGTGAATTTTTATTAGATTGCTTAGTTGTTTTAGGTTTACTAATTTAAATATGTAATAATAGTTTCTACCATTTATGCAGGGTATTGCATACTCCTGCAGACTTTATCAGGGTCATCTAAGGTTTTCAAATATATGCTTCAAAAACGTCTGAAGCTCTTGTTATCTCATTTATTTGCCTTTTAAAAGGGCTTTAAATAAAACAACGTATTTGTAAATTTTCTCTGTGAAGAAGAAAATAAAGAGATGCTATTTAGTTTTTTAATAATCCTTTGTGTGAGCTTTTCCCAGACTGATGTGATCTTCTAATGATTGCATTGTATTAAAGTCATGTTTTAGAGGAGATTGTGCATTTGCTCTAAAGTGAATACTCCTCATTATGGTTATTAATACATCAATAGGTTTTAGATAATAGCCTTTTCATATTCAACTAATTCTCTGATGCTTTAAATTTAAGCCAACAGATGAAGATGCGATTTTCTGGGAATATATGTTCCACATATTTTGTGATTATTGCTATACAAGCAGACAGCTGTTACTAAATTTTCTATCAAATGTAGTAGAATGTCCAACAACTTTGTGCTATTGTCTATGGAAAGGAAGCATATAAATATCATAATGCTCCTCTAATTAACTTTTAAAGTACCTTAACATTTTGTTGAGTAAGCTTTTGTGTCTGTTTTTAAATAATGGAAACACCTAAAAATACCTTGAAAAAAATGACAAATAAGAATTGAGATTTTAAAAGACCATTTTATATGGCTTAGTCTTGGGATGCAATATTGAGAATTTGTGATTTTTCTCCCTAGATGATTTTAAAAATAAAAGCTATTTTTAAATTATAAACGAATGGGTGGTGCTTTCAATTTATTTTCTTCTCTTGCTGCATCCCCAGGCCTGTCATGTTCTTTGCTGAAAAATCAAAAAAGAATGCAGTTGTTTGATAATTATATAACTTGATGTCCAGTTCCATCAAAATGTACTTCAGTTATGTAACACTGGGATTTTAGAAATGAGTTTGGACTGTACCTGGCCCTAACAGCAGGGTGTTGTTAAAACAATTTTTTTCTTCTCAGAGAGAGGTTGTGATTTATGATGTTGCTGTATCTCGCCTGCAGCTATATTTTCACACTAATGTAAATTGTTTTAGGTTCTTTTATTCTGTGGT